CAGGAATTAAGTGACAATTTACCAAATAAAAACCAGGAATGAGTGGAGTAAAACAAAATCAAAAAATTGCAGGTTTTCCTTTTTTTCTGTGTCAAGGAGTTTTTCATCAAAATCTCAAATACTGGGATCAAATCCAGGTTATCCACCTGAATTTTTGCTTAATTTTTCATTAAAAAATTAAAAAATGGCATAAATTTAAGTGATGTCAATCTACTGGGCTCAAACTCATGTTATCCACCTGAATTATTATTTTTTTTACATAAAAATGGAATTAGGTGGCATAAAAATAAATCTTTGTGAGAGAGGAGAGAGTTAAGCATTAGGGAAAACAGGAAATAATCAGAATTATTTTTGTATTTATTATAATTTTAAAGTGATATTTATCACCAGAAAATAAAACTGCAAAATCCAAAACAAAATCTCAAATATTTCTGCTTTCCCAGCTCAGTTTAATTACCCAAGGCCAATGGAATTTTGCTAAAAAATGATTTAAAATGAGAAGAATAATGAATTTCAAGGAAGATGGGGTAAAATATTCAGGAAAAAGACAATAAATCCTTTTTTAGGATCATAAATTCCAGGTAAAAATCTTGAATTTACCTTCACATCTTCATCCAACTTCATGATTTTCTTAATCCGAGCCAAGGGCAGCTCCTGAACCCTGAAATCTTTCTGCAGAGAGATTGGAGAGACTTTTTATTGAAATTTAATTCAAAATAAAGGGAAAAATATGTTAAAACAATCAATATTTTGTAGAATTGATGATTGGGATAATTTCCTTTTATCCCTTTTAATTCCCTGCCCTCAATTCCCAAAAATCAGGGACCAACACAATTAATTTTAATTTAAAAATTTTAATAATAAACAGAATAAATTTCAGTAAATTTTAATAAATTTTTGAACTCACAGTGCTGGAATTTTTTCCTGTTTTCCCTTTTCCTTCCCTGTACTCAGTTACCAAAAATCAGGGAGCAGCACAATTAATTTTAATTTTAAAATTTTAATAATAAACAGAATAAATTTCAGGATTTGATCATTCCAAAGCATTGGAATAATTTGCTTTTATCCCTTTTCCTTTCTTGCCCTCAATCCTCAAAAATCAGGGACCAACACAATTAATTTTAATAATAAACAGAATAAATTTCAGTAAATTT